AACATTGATTACACCCAACATTAACTATCCATACTTATTTAAAATTCTGCTGAATGCTAATAATACTACTATCAATATTACAGAGTCTTGTAATTCAGGTAACAACTAAGAAAAAGTTTTTAATACAAGCAACCGAGGATCGGATTGGATAAAAAAGAATCGATTCTATATCTGAAGGATGGATTCCTGAAATTTGAATGGACATCCAGCCCTAGAAGTGGGGACAAATCAGACCTGCTTTAAAAACAGATGCCAGTTCCTCCAATGTTCTGAACCGGATGTCTAAGGCTATGTTCACACAGCAGCCTGAAAAGAACCTAATATGATTTTTTTTGTCCATATGCGACCTGTATCTGATCTTGTCATGACAGTCTGATCAACACAGATCCCACCACTGGGTCACGTAGCCTTACGACTTTACCTTAAATACTCAACAAAGGTTCTTATTCTGTGTCTTGCTACGCAGAAGCAGGAAGAAAAACAAACAACCTTTTGGAAAAAGATTGTTTTGTCAATGCACTGGCTGAGGTTGGGAAAGAAATTAAAGATTGCTAGATCAGCTCTGGCACTACATCCATGTTTACTTCATTGCATCCTTTACTGCACATGTGGGACACTTAAAGGAATAGTACACCCAAAACATGATTAGCCTTCATTTTCTACTCACCCCCATGCTGAACAACACTCTGGAGTACTTTTTTGANGTTTTCAGTTTCCCTTTTTAATTAAATCTAAAGAAATTCACCTCTGCCTTCCTGCCTCTGCTTTTGGGTCTACACTCCATAACCAAATCCTGACAGAGATGATCAAATATGAAGTGGAAAATTTTTTTTATTTTGGAGGTTTGATGCAAAGTAGGAAAAATGGTTTAAAGTCAACATGGAGGAGAGAGAGAAAAATAAAGGAGAGGAGTCAATTAAAGAGACAGAGGCTATCAGTGAGGCTAAGAGACAGAGAAGAACAGCAGCAGGAGTCTGCTCTCGTTATGATCCATCTCATCTCTTTGTACCAGCTGACGTTTTTATGATGCAGCCTGCTGTCTGGGCTAATGGCTTCCTCCATTATACTAAGGAAACACAGTGACCCCAACACCCAGATAAACACTGCCTTCACATAAGACCTGTCCCATCTCCCCAACTCTGCCTGGAGCCTGCAATTCTGTAGTGATTCAGCATTATCTCTAATGCTGAATAACAGGATGCTCTTCAAACAGGAAAGAATAAAGCAAGAATGGATCATAGAATATCTGCTTAAATACCAAACACACTAACACATCAACCAACTAACACATGCTTTCAAAAACATGCTTTACCACTCTTTAAATTAACAAGTAAAACTAACATTCTTAAAAACAAGCAAAATTGTATATCTGTATTCGATCTCTATTCGATCAAGGACAAAATTTGTTCTAAAGGAGGCAGGAAGCAGGAAGAAAAACAACAACCAGGGCAGATGATAATGTGGAGAGCAGTCTTTCTTTTAAACCCTTTTGAGAAGATTGCATTGTTAATGCACTGGCTGAGGTTGGAAACTCATTTTTTTTCCAAGTTCGAAGACGTTTTGCTTCCCATCCGGGAAGTGCAATGTCATTTCAAAGTGTCAGAAATGGCGTTGAGTTCGAGGCTTTACCAAAAACACTTTGTTTTGGCTTTGAAAACATGCAAATTGAACTGGACAAGCAGGTCCGCCCCTTTGGAATGACGGTCGTTTGAATTCTTTTGTTAGCCTGTAATCAGATAGCCTCGTGAGACCATCCTGAATGCTGAATGCGCACTTTCATCTGGTTTCCGTAGACTGGTGAACGGGCTTTTACTACTGTTTATGCTCTAAAAACATTCTAAATGACTTCGTTTCAAGTAAATTCTGGACGCTACCCACTCAGGACACTTGGAATACATTGGACGAGCAGTATGGAGGAATATTGACACGTTTTTTGTGGACTTTTATGGACCTTTCTGCCTCGGGCGCCATAGACCTCCATTATTTGAATGTCAGCAGACAGCAAGAAGCCTCCCAGATCTCCAGATGCATTTGAGATATCAAAAAAGTACTCCAGAGTGTTGTTCAGTATGGGGGTGAGTAGAAAATGAAGGCTAATCATGTTTTGGGTGTACTATTCCTTTAAGTTGTGTGAATGCAGTTCCCATACAAGTTGCATATATTAGGAAGTGTGAACAACCATGCAAAAGAATCTGATTTTACCAAAAATATCAGAACTGAGCATTGATGCCTGCAGTGAGAACGTAGCCTTAGTTTTGATTAACTTATTCAGGAAATAAAGCAGACTGCACTTGCAAAGTTCAATTCCAAGAACTCCATCCCGCATTCAATCATTCACTGGTTCTACATTAAAGTTGCCCTAAGGAAAAAATCCCAGCACTGCTGGGCCCTGTGAGCACCATCAGCAGGAAAAACATGAAGTATTTTGCTAAAAAGCACAGTGACAGAGACAGGCTGAACAGGGGCTAAAACCAGCAACCCGCTGGCTACAGGAACGACTCCTACTTCCTGTTCCGTCATCACCACAAAACGTTACACAAAAAGTGCAACTTCATGAACCACACCATCTGTCCAAATTGTGTCAATCTACATTTTTCAGAGTTACATACACCCCCACACCCCCACGTAGTATTTGCGGATCTATTCTGTTCATTAAAATGCATGTGCTTCTTCAAAGCACCGACAACAATGATGCCATCTGGTACTAGAGAAGGAGTGCGTTGTGAGTGTGTGTGTGTGTATATCCATGAGACGGACACATGTTTGCAAATACCTTCACAGAAATGTAAAATACACACGATGCCAGTGTCACGTACACAAACAGACATTTTATCACCAATGGGCTAACATTTGGTTCTGATACACGTTTCACCGACAAATTCCACACACTCTCGATCGGAAGCTTCAGCTGCTTTGCTTTCATTCACAGGTCATTTCTAAAAACCCAAAAGCCCTTTTTAAAGCGAATCCCCCTCTTCTGCTCTAAGTGTATTGCTCAAAGGGCCAATTTCAAAGCCAAATTCCACTTAGATTCATAAGAGCTCTGTATATTCTGGTACTCCAAGCAGAAATTCATCAAAGCTTAATGTTCTCCTCACAGAAAACCACTTGGCGCCGAGGCTCACTCTTGTTTTTGTGTTTCTAGAGCGTTTCAGTGTCGTTTGATAGTTGTTTAAAGCACCAAACTGTCACTGCTGTGTTACATGACGGAAACCTTTCACATTTGGATGTTCAGGCTAATTAGAAGACAGGCTTCAGGGAAAGCTGGATTACTATCCAAGGTAATTAAAGAAAAAATGATCAAGGACTGTAACAAAATTATTTTGAATCTGAATTACAGAAATGTTTTGAATGTGAAAACAGAATAATAATCCTAAATTTCCCCTAAATCTGCATTCTTTCTGAAAAAAAAACAAAAAACTCTTGGACCTGAATTGCATCAAACAACTTCTCAGTTTTACTTTGGGAAATGCAGCAAAAGTCAAAATTTGGTAAATAAAAATATATAATTTAAAAAAAAAAACACCATATTCATCTGTTACCTCCTTAACTACCAAAACGGTTGTAAGGATCACAACAAAAGAAACATTTGTGGTTTCATTGTCAGAGAGATGCAAAAATAGATTCAACTCAGACTATAAGAGGCCATCTTGGAAAGGACTAAAGTTTGATTTATACTTCGAAACTCGGTCCTCTGCGTAGGTGTGGCGGTAAACGTAGAGACATCCCCACCCCCACCGCAGACAATCTGCTACACCTCTCCCAAATTGTAGGCGACCGCAGACAGGAGGCCTCTGATTGGTCAAATCTACAATACGCTCTACACTATATGTCTCCTGTTTGGTACCTTACCGACTTGTTTGGTTTACAGAGCGAGAAGCGGGAGAACGCTGGGACTCTTTTTCCCACCTGGATCCCTGCTCTTTTTCGCCCTCATGTCCCTCCGTTGTCGAACAAACTTGCCCCCACTTCCTCACTGCCTCGGCCATATCTAGACCCATATCTAGTTCAGGATTTTCCCCCTTTTGCGTCCACATCAAGGTCAGACGTCCAGGCAAGTGTGTCCAGATGCTTCTGCTGCTCCTGTGTTCAATGCCAGAGAGCAGCTTTGCTATATTAGCTGTGATCAGCGGGTAAAAAATAGTTTGAATCTATTTTTAAGTGAGAAAGTCCTCCTGAAAACATCACCTCTGCAGTCAGTTCATCCAGATTACCATCCTGCCTTCAAAGATTATTTCTCTGTGGGCGCCGCTCAGACCCCCACATACCGGCGCTGCGCTGTCACTGGGAATCCCCAGCAGCAGCTGCCTCAGGCCCGCTCGCTAAGTAGATGTTAGCTTTTTTAAGCTAAGTGGTACAAACTGCAGGCCCCAGAATAATAAAGGTAAGCATATTTTGCTGGCAGGTGTCGACATTTTAGGTTAATTTAGGCGTTAATAAACCGTTTCAGAGGAGTGATCATAGCGCTCTGCATCAGCAGTGCTGTGTCCGTCTCCCTGCCAGCTTCTAGATCAGCTTCTCTGATTGGTTGATGTGGCGCGTTGAGCGGCAAAAGTTACTTTTCTCCTACTCAGCTCTCTGCTGCTTGTGAAGCATGTCATGCACTATGAAGCTCATGAGGCGCTGCTTCAGCTGCTCAGGTGTGTCAGGATGCGCTGCTCCGGCTGCTCGAGAGGCAGTGCGCGACCTTTTGATGCATGTCAACCATAGACTTTGCATGTAAACCTGCTGCTTCTGCTGCTCAAAGCGCATGTGGTTTGAACGTAGCATAACAAAAGGCAATAGACAATAAAGAGGGCAAAGTATTGCACAAATCTTATTCCTCATCCTGCATGATTTGCTGTATATCGCTTCCAGAGACATGTTGCCTAAAAAATAGATAAAAATGACTACTTTCCTTTAGGAGTCTGTCTGTGTGCATATATATTTAATAGACAAAGGTATATAGATAAAGTTATAAGAAACAAAATAACATCCATGACGTAATTGTGATGCCCTACCTTTCACTGAGGTATTCGGCGGAGGTCCCTCAATTCGCAAGTTCCATGGTGGGTCCCCCTGGTTGGCAAAGTCCCTCATCTTTAGGTAGCTGATTGTGAGCCGGATGATGGAGGCCTTGTCTAGTTGGCTGGTAATGGCACCAGGTAGCGGAAGCATCTTGGCTAATTCATAAAATTCAAAGTTCTCTTTCCCCCGTCGTGACCTTGCAGCATCTCTTGACTTTTCCTTCCGGAGAGCTTGCAGCCTGGACACAGCAACAAAGATGCATTGTAAATCTGATTAGGAAGATGATATGCCAAATGTGATTTATTAGAGATGTCTGCAATGCAGGGAAAGAAGTATCACAGACTATAGTACATTGAGTTCTATATTAAATAATGTGTTTCTAATGTTATTTGAATGTATATTTGAGTCATTCTGTAGCATCTGGCTGAAGAATAGAGGAAAATACAACCTAAAACTATGCAAACATTTCAAAGCAACCATCACTTTGTTTTAACAGTAACTCCTTCTGACAAAACTAAAAACAAGGCTTTATTAGAGCAGAACTTCTGTGCTCTACAAAGTTAATGGCAGTCCAACTCTGTCCCACCTTTTTACTTCATTTCTTATTCATTAAATTTTATCAATAACGTTCAACTCTGTTACTTTACATCAAAGAGTAACTCTGTTTACTTTCTCTCTCGGCCTTTAACAACAACACTGACAAACACTTTTTCCTCCGGCCGCTCATCATCATCGGACGCCGTTATGAATTAACCGGGCAATAAATCAGCTGATAAAAACCTCTGTGGGCTTTCTGTTGGCCATGCACACACATACAGACAGGAAGACAGGTGATTAATTTTTGCCAGAGAAAAAAAAGAAGGCGGATTGAAAGCGGGGCTTAGATGGAATGATAGCACACACACATGTTGGAGGACTTGTTTAGGGCTACAGATGAAAAATGGCTGTCATCAGGCCAAGAATATCATTTTCATATCTTTCTTTACGTATTAGGGAGCACAAACACTAGATGAGATGGAGAGGTGAAAAGTTTGTTAGTTAACTGCTTTTGTTCAATTAGAAGTTTTAAGATTAGAGGCTTTTTTCCAGCATTGAATCCATCAACATTTTATATTACATTTAATACTGAAAGAAAAACTCTTTTGATTTCCATAAAAAAATACATGAACATCTTGAGTATTAATTTTTCTTAGGATTTTTACTAATTACATTTAAACACAAATGCCTGTACTTACTACTTTTTACTTTCTGAGAGCAGAGTTTTACTTTTACACCTTTTGATAATGACATAACAGCTGCAAGCAGATAATCTGTCCAGTCAGAGCAGTTTGTTTATAGAAAAACATTGATACCAACATGGGAGAAGACGGTGGGCTGGGAAACATTAAAGATGATGGATCAGATTCGGACAGACATTTCCAAGACATTTCTACGACGGAGTATTAGGGCCACACATGAAGAGAAAAAATATTTTTG